CGGTACCTCACCGCCATGAGCGCAGCCCGCGAGCCTTCCGCCATCCGGGTCCTGAGTAGCTGGGACTGCGCCCCTCCTCCGTGCGGGCTGACCTGCGGGCCCCCAAGGAGCTCCGGGAGCCCTCTCCAAGGGTGGTGCCTGCAGCCCTCTCATGGGTACATTCATTCACCTGAGAGCTCAGGGTGCCCTCTGCATGGATGGCGCCTGCAGCCCCTCCTGGTTGTATTCATTCACGTGGGATATCAGCGTGCCACCTCCTGGTTGCATTCATTCAACGAGAGTACAAGGTGTCTTCTCCATGGATGGTGCCTGCAGCCCCCTCCTAGTTGCATTCATTCACATAGGAGCTCAGGGTGCCCTCTGCATGGATGGTGCCTGCAGCCACCTCCTTGTTGCATTCATTCACCTGAGAGGTCAGGGTTCCCTCTCCGTGGATGATGCCTGCATCCCCCTCCCGGGTGCATTCATTCACCTGAGAGCTCAGGGTGCCCTCTGCATGGATGGTGCCTGCAGCCCCTCTTGGTTGCATTCATTCATGTGAGAGCAGATGGTTCACCGGGTCTGAGTGCAGAAGTGAGTCAGGCACAGCCTCGTTGTCAGAGAACTCCAGCTGCAGCGGGAGATGAGTCGGGTGGTTTTCTGCTGGAAGCGCAGAGGGAGCCATGATGGAGAGAGGTGCACAGGCTGTTGTGGGACGTGGCTTGAGAGGGGAGGGGGTGGGCCGTTGAGAAAGGCTCTTACTGGGAAGATGAGTCGAGGTTGGGCCTGGTGCCCATAAGGATGCCTAGTAGGGAGGGCATGGTGCATGGGGAGGTAAAGGGGTGAGGGATGAAGCTGGACAGGCAATGGGATGGGGGTCACATGGAGGAAGTCCTCCCGTTATTATGACCCTGTGCGTGTCTTCCCAATTTCTCAGCCTTTCTGTTTATCATCACTATGCCTTAGTACCTCTACCAGTAAAGACGACCCAGAAAAAGTTATTCTAAATGTTTGTTTTAGACCAGCATTCTATCATTATACATTGTTACACTTAATATGTCCAGTGACCATAATGCACAGTGAGCTTTTTCTGTTGATGACTGTCTTCAATGAAGGTGTTTCTTCTTCTCTTCCATGTTTATTGTAGCTGAAATAGTGAACAGGGCACCAAAGTCGCTCATCTCCTTGGCTCCTGGATTTCCAAATCCGAACACTTTCCCTTTTAAGACGGCCAGTATCACCATAAAAAATGGAAAGACCATCCAATTTGGAGAAGAGATGATGAAGAGAGTGCTTCAGTATTCTCAAAGTGCTGGGTAGTTATCAAGAGATGTTATACTTTTGTTGGATCATTTTCTTGAGCAGTGTACTAAGGCCCACTGATAGAGTGACTTGAGTCTTTTAATGAGTGTTTAGCATTTAGAGAGGTTTGGAAAGAGCTCCCCCAAAATAAAAGAGCAACAGGGACATTTGATGCTGTTTGACACACACCTCAGTGGCTGCTTTTCTAGAAGGCAGTGCTGTTTGAGCTCGTCTTAAAAAATGAGAAGACGGTTGGTGAGGAGACAGGTCGGGAGAAGGGAGGAGAAGGATGACACAGGAAGTGGCGGCAGTAATTTTAAGTCCAGAGACAATTTTCCAGTAATTATTTACCCTTTCTAAATGAACAGCTATGTGAATACCTTGTGCTCATAGGTTAAAATGTCATTCTTCTAGTGAGAAAGGATATTTTATGGGGTGTCTGTAAATTATACTTTATTAAAGCCTTTGTTCTGCAGTGGAAAAATATAGTGAAAGACTATCTGTATATATACTAGTTTTATGTAAAATATGCATAAGGCTTTTCTCTGAGTGATACAAAGAACATTTTGAGCCTGAACTTCTTAGCTAGGCTATGAAAATCTTCGGTGGAGAGCAAAGAATTGATTATACCATTAATGAATGGTGTAGTGGAAAAGAAACAGTGCAGGCTTTGGAATAAGAAAGCTCTAGATTCAAATCCCAGCTCATTCGGTCACTGGCTGAATGACTTCAGTAAATTTCTTTTTTTTTTTTTAATTTTTTTTATTGTACTTTAGATGAAGGTTTACAGAACATATGGTTTCTCATTAAACAGTCAGTACACATATGGTTTTATGACATTGGCTAACAACCCTACGACATGTCAACACTCTCCCTTGTCGACCTTGAGGACATTTTTTTTTTTGGAGAAAATATACATAGCCAAAGTTACACCATTTT